AAGGCTTACCTTAATGTATTCCTAAAAAAAAGTAAAGAAAAAATAAAGAAAACTGTTAAAAAACCACCAAAAAATCACTTCCGATAGGCTTACCTTAATGTATTCCTAAAAAATAGTAAAGAAAAAATAAAGAAAACTGTTATAAAAACACCAAAAAATCACCTCCGATAGGCTTACCTTAATGTATTCCTAAAGATAGTAAAGAAAAAATAAAGAAAACTGTTAAAAAACCACCAAATAACCACCTCCGATAGGTTTACCTTAATGTATTCCTAAAAAAAGTAAAGAAAAAATAAAGAAAACTGTTAAAAAACCACCCAAAAAATCATTTCCGATAGGCTTACCTTAATGTATTCCTAAAAAAAGATAAAAAAAACTGTTAAATAACCACCAAAAAACAATTTCTGATAGGCTTACCTTAATGTATTCCTAAAAAAAAATAAAGAAAACTGTTAAAAACCACTAAAAAATAACCTCTGATAGGCTTACCTTAGTTTTGAAAAGAGAATTTCCCTAAAAAAAACAAAGAAAAACAAAGAAAAAAGGGTTAAAAACCATTCAAAAGTCACCTCTGAAAGGCTTACCTTAGTTTTGAAAAAAGAATTTCCCTACAAAAAACAAAGAAAAATAAAGAAAAAATGGTTAAAAGTCGCCTTCGATTTACTTACCTTAATTCCAAAATGAGAATTTTCCTAAAAAAAACAAGAAAAAAGAAAGGAAATGCCAAAAAAGTCACTTCCGTTTTGCTTACCTTAATTCCTAAATAAGAATTTCCTAAAAAAACAAGAAATTTTAAAGGAAAAAGTTAAGTTTTCACCCAAATATCGTCTCACTAGAAAAAAAAGAAAGAAAAAATTTTTTTCGGAATATTCCGAAAGTTTATCAGTTTTATATTGCAAACTGAATTAAAATTTCATTAATCTGAAATTTAGATACAATTTATCATAAATGCTCCAGTCAGATGGTTTTGCATTATCCGATAGGAACAATAATTGTATCGTTCCAATAGAATAATAATTGTATCGTTCCAATAGAACAATAATTGTATCATTCCAATAGAACAATAATTGTATCGTTTTAATAGAATAATAAAAAAATCATTCCAAAAGAACGATGAAAAAAAATTGTTCTTTTGGAACAATGAGTATTGTTCCAATAGAACGATAAAAATCATTCTGAAAGAATGATGATGTATCTTTCCAAAAGAACGATAATAACAAAAACATCATTCTTTCAGAATGATAATGTATCATTCTGAAGAATGATAATAAAAAAAATCGTTCTTTCAGAACAATGATGTATCGTTCTGAAGAACAATAATAAAAAAAACGTTCTTTCAGAACGATGATATATCGTTCTGAAAGAACGATAAAAAAATACATCGTTCTTTCAGAAAAGAATGATAAATATATCGTTCTTTTGGGACGATTTTTATCGTTCCTTTGGGACGATTCCTATTGTTCCTATCGTCCTTTTAGGATGATTTCTATCATTCCTTTGTGACGATTTCTATCGTCTCTTTAGAGACGAATGTATCGTTATTTTGTGATGATTTCTATCGTCTCTTTGGAAACGAATGTTCATTCCTTTAAGGACGATTTCTATCATCTCTTTGTGATGATTACTCTCAGAATGTTTTATTATTTTCGTAAAAATCGGCGTAACAGATTTCGACCAGTGAGATACAGTCGATTTGTTACCAAATCTTGAGTCTTACTGAAATTTTGCTGAATATTATAACCGAAAGGTCTTAGAGCCGAAATAATGCTAAATTATGTGTGATGTAACAAATTACTATCAATTTTTGTAACTTGAGCTGAATTTTTGTCAAATTACATGACCGAATCAGCTAAATGTTTTACGAAAGTCTTAATGCTGAAATAATGCTAAATTATGTGTGATGTAACAAATTACTATTGATTTTTGTAACTTAAGCCAAATTTTTGCTGAATCACATGACGAAAGTCTTAGAGCCGAAATAATGCAAAATTATGTGTAATGTAACAAATTACTATCAATTTTTGTAACTTAAGCCGAATTTTGCCAAATCACATGACCGAATCAGCTAAATGTTAACCGAATGGTATTAATGCCGAATTAAATGATTTCAACTAGTGTATAATATATAACTAGTTACTACTATATGGAAAGTAATAATATTATAACAGACATCAGTCTCTTTGCTAGTAATTATACCATACTAGAAAACCTAAAAATACAAGTCATCATATCTCTATATTTATTATAAAATAATTCATTATCATGCTTATTTTACCAGTTTTTTTCTAGTACTAAAACTTCAAAGCTTCTTTATCCACTCAATATTCTCTAAGAAGACTTGTTCTAAAATTCTTTATAAACATGTTTAAAATTCTCTACTTTCTTTTTGAAAACACCTATCTATTTACCTTACTTCACTCGTATAAATAACATTGTGAAAATTCTGATGATATCAAGAGGTTCTCTTATTAAAAGGAATTCTTCTATATTTTGATAGAATAAAAGTTGAATGTTTAGTATAAAGCTTGCTAAGCAAAGTAAAAAAATAATGTAAAAGCATAATAATTTCACTATATTTTCCTTTTTAATATTTGTAATTTTCTCATTCACATCTCTTTGGATCTAAGCTCATGTTGGAGTTGAAGTAGAAGAATATGCAAAGTATTTTATGCCAAAATTTTGTGTTCAAAAATAAAGACATGTAGGGTATGCATTGAAGTTCTCGATATTTAGAAAATATTAGGGATAATGTATATAGATTTTTTATCTATCTACTTAAAATTATAACCTAGCAACGTTATATAATGTATTTCAGTTAGAATAGGTAAACCTCATATAATAGAAATAGTCTATCTCTTCAAAACAAATATACATATCATTTAATATATTATTTTCTAGAACATTGCAAGAAAAAAAATTCGAAATATTTTTTGGGAAGGGCTTAATTTATATGTGAAATTATTTATTGCACAAGCGAATATTTACACTCGCACAGATCATTGGCAGTATATTACTACTACATCATATACATTTTATTTATATCACACATGCTACATGTAGAATTGGAAATTTTATATATGCTAGATAAAATTAACACAGTATTTGTATTATATTTGTATTAATTTTTATATTATTAAATATTATAATACTAATTGTACTAATCATTATATTCCCCAACTTTGCCTACATGTATTAGACTGTAAAGTGCAGGTAAATATGAAGCTAATATAATACATTTTCCCTATATAAAACTATTTTTTAATTTATGTATCATTTTGATCATATTCTAAAAATTTATAGATAATAATAAATCATTTCATAGACTAGTTCCTGCAATGTTCTATGTCTATATAATAATAGATGCTCTATCAGGTTGTACCAACAATTCCATTCTGACTACCAATGTATTGATAGAATTTTTTTTAGTATCAAGATAATATTCAGGATTCTGTGCCTATTTTATCATGGTATACCAAATTGGTATATAACCTTTTTGTTGTAATATTTTCTAGCATAATCAAAGAGTATCTAACCTAATCAGTATAATAATTGATTTTTTTTCTCTTCCGCCTAAGTTATAGGAGAATAAAGGATATAGCATGTTAAAATAATCACTTTTCCAGTTAAATTTTATGAGTTTTCCATTAATATAATAATAAGCTTCACCATAAGGAAAATACTTCCACCTATCAGGAGTACTATCATTCCTCATCACCTCTCAAACTTTTTTTGCTAAAGATTCAGGTCTCTTCTTGTAATTCCTGTAAGCTCGCTGGATAACAGTTGCATAGAAATTTTTAAAGCCATATTGATAGTAGTATTTAGGAATCAAGATCGCTTCATTGATCTTTCTCACTAAAATAGTTATATAATAGAGGATCTAACCCAGAATAGGCAGATCATGCATAGCCAATTTTTATTTCGCAAAAAAATATGCTATGAATAATTTATGTATCACACTTTCAGCTAAGAGTATCTGAAGAAACAAAATTTCGAGAGGAGTAAATTACTGTGAAAATATGTATATTATTCAAGATAAACCGCACTAAATGCATTAACTGGATAATAAACATGTGATGATCGGCAAAAATTCAATTCATCATCAGAACGCCGATTATCGTTATAATTACTTAAAAATCGATACGTGAATCACATGACCAAATTTCAACAAGGAAAAATCACGTACACAAAAATCACGATATGGTATATGTATTTTTATTATTTCAATGTACTCAGTAAACCCCAACACCACAAAAAAGATAAAGCCTGAAGTATAGGCGGATTAAAATTTCCATTACAACAATAAAATCATGTTTCGTCACTTTGATGCACAGTTAAAATGTATAAGTGAAACTTAAATGAATTATTAAAAAGAAAGCCAAAGAAAGCCAGAAAAAGTTAACTGGTACAAATAATAAGTGATTGAGTAATGAAACTTGCTAAATTATTAGGGAACTACAGGAGGCGGGAGCTTCAGTAATGAAATAACTTTTTGAGGTGACGAATTTGATAACCTACGATAGGATTGATTTGTCGGTGTAGATGGAGCATTTAATATCTCAATAGCACGGCCAACTCTTTTCTGAATGAAAGAAATAAATAATCAGAAGTTATGCTTTGGTGTAATTACAAAAGATCATTATACTCTTACCGATAAGCTGTAGAAATTCGAAATAACTGGGATAATAGTTAGAAAATTGGCATGTTCAGTTGGCAAGATCATTTTTCCAATTTGGTTAAGACGGTATACACCATCAAAGTTGAGATCCATGCTAAATAATTTAACATGAGAGCCTGTTGAATTTATATCTGATTAGCTTGGAAAATTGTCCGTTAATCTTAGTAAAATTATGATAGGAACAACTTACCATTAACAAGTATGCCAAATGTTTCAAACCCCGGTTTATTACCTATATCATCTAAGGATCCCTTCATAAACTCGGCGAGTTTTATCAAAGTTTTGTTCACAACATTATTAGGTGTAGACGGGGGCTTTATTTCTCCATAGGTGATTTCATGTTTTTTAATATCTTTGCTGAAGAGAACCCGAAAATCGGGTTTTCTCCCGTGTTTGTGATTATCAGCTTTCCGTCTGCTTTTAGAACTTGAAGACTCTCCGTTGGCCCTTGAATTACAAATTTAAAGAAACAATAAGTATATATTAAATAATTGTATTATGAATATTTCAGGTACATTAAACTTACCAAACGAATTTATAATCATCTGTGTTAAAAATTTCTTCTAATAATAAATGGAGATATCTATGAGCGAAGGTATCTTCGTCCATTTTATGATCAGTTTTATTTGATGTTAAGGTCAAGAAACTAGAGAATATATAGTCATAAGCATAACTTTGATGATAACCACGAATTCTTCATTAAGTTTAAAACTTACAAGTTTCTCATGACAAGTCAAATATTTTCTTCTCTTCCTCGGTCATTGCGGGGTCCCATTTCGCCCAATTTTGATGCCATGATTTTAGTAACAAATCTTTATTCGTTAGAAGCTAAACCACAAATTATTAGTTTTGTTAATAATTACAGTACTTATTGTAATGTTCTTAATATCAAAGAAGTTATTACAGAATTTACCTCGCTATACTCCAAGATCATGAGCTTAACAACAACTGGTAATGTTTCGGGGGTTAATAATAGCCTAGGAAATGCGCTCTTCCATATCTGATCAGAGCATTTGACATACTCGGGTTTGTCCTCTTTCACATATATTATCGAGGAGAGACACCTACAATTATATATAAAAGTTAAATGTTGAAACAAAATTTATACTTTGTATGGCAAGAAACCCACAATATTTGATTAACATCTGTAGCGTATGAGAAGGATGGGTTGTTCTTTAACAGTTCCACTGTTTGTGTTTGAAATTCACGGAAGTCTTCGGAAATATTGTATCCACTTATGATCCACTATAGGCAAGAGATCATTAATGAATTACCGCCATATTGGGATGAAATTTTTTTTTCAATACTCACATCATGATCCGAATTACGATCAATTATAATTTTTTCAGAGACGTGCTTCTACGAGAGGATCATCTGATAAATCAATTAATATTCAAGAATCTGCTAGTTATTCTGAAAATTATATAAATGACAATTTAGTACTTTACCTTTTTGGATTCATTTGAAGCTGAAGAAGAATCAGTAAATTCCACATCATATGACTCTACACTCTCTTTATCCTAAAATGTAACATACGGATTAGCGAAATGTTTACTCATAACTATTTATCTCAGCATAAGGTAATTTTTTTTCTTAATTTTTACCAGATTGTCGATAGGCTTATTAATATTTTCAAACTCATCGCTGGTCGATTGGCTAGCGTTAACGGCAATGTGCTGGTTGCTTGATTTATTTCTCTTAACACCCTTGGTTGTTCCAGTATCCTCCATTAATATACGCTTTCCGGTCTTCGTTTCAACATTTTTAACATTGGGAGTACTCCGGAAGAAAATATCTATCTCGTCCTACAGAAATACAAAGTCAGCATCGCAATACGATTAGAAACGAGCTTATGTACATCATACGACAAACAAAACGAAAAAAAAATTACTAGTGATGCTTCAGTTGATGAACCCTCAACTTCATTTAATAGGGGACCACGTGCGATAATAGACCGGGCTCCCTGTGAGCGTTCAACATATTCTTCAGAACAGATGACTAGAGCATTCGTTTGTAATTCTTTAATTATGGTTTCCTGTCTTTTCTTAGCGTTTTCCTGAAATTAAATGCACCGTTAGTTTTCATTGTTCGTCGCATAAACTGCACTTTGAAACTTACCATTGCTCGGTAAAACCGTCGTGAATTCTTCTTCAAATTCTTCAGACTATACATTAACATGTGAAGCCATGTGGACTCTGACGCGAAAACGCGTAGCGCGCCGGCTAATACATATATAGATCATGTGATACATAGTCAATTTTGATTCGGCTAATTGATTGATATCTTACATTTATTTCTCCTGATTGTTAATCTGATAATCTGATCTTAGAAAATGTTCTTCCACAAGACATCTATACACCTATAATGTAGGGCAAGTAGCATCTGAATCAAAGTTATTTGGTTCATTAGACGAACGCTGGATGCCACGTCTTGAAGTTGCAAGATTATGGTTATCCTAATAGATGAGGTGTATCGGACGTGCTTTGCTTGTAGGACAAGTACACATAAGCCCAGAAAGGTCTGGCAGTAGGAAAGTTGGATGCAATCTCTTTTTTTTGCTATCCTAATAGGCTTTCACGTTGTCTTGTAAACATATCAATTATCATTGATGCAGCTAAGTGATTATATGTAATAAAGCCTGAAATGTTATTTCTTTGCCTACTAACCACATCTCACCCCACATCTTTTTCTACACTATATTTCCGAAATAAATTATCCCATCCATATCTTACAGAAATTTTGTACAACTATATCACTACACACGCACAGGCTATTTAAGATTATTCCCTGTTAGAGAACTTTACCGAGTAAACGAGATAGAAGAATTTCGAATCTACAGCATAAATCGAGAGATTTGCAACTGATGTAAAAAAGTAATATAATGTTACCGATTCACACCGCTAAACATTAAGAATTCGGCACGTGAAGATGTTTGCAAAACTTTTGCTGTGCCTTTGCATGTGACGAGATTCATGTGAATAATTTCAGCCGATGAGGGCATGTGTCAGACAATCATGTCGATGCTAAAAAGACCAGGAATGGTAATATGTCTACTTTGACTTTGAGCATCTATAGAGCCGGAAAATTTGATTAGCATCGTGATGATGTTCTTTTAGAAGCTAGCTAAGCAATAAAAACAACCTGCCTTATTATAATTTTGTGGAACATGCGAGTTTTTTTATTGTTAATATCAATGTTTTTAATAATGGTAAGCTTGATTGGTTTGAATTTTTTTGTTTTACTTGTGCAAGACGAATAAAAGGATTCACTAACAAGGACATCACCTTTTTATATAATTTCCAGGAATACACTTTTGGGGAAATTACGTTAATTTAAACGCATCACAAAAATCTAATCAACGGCATCCCTTTAATTTAACAATAACAGATAAAGAATTTATTGCTATCCATATATAAAGATCATCAAGGGGCTATACGTAATTTGAGAAAGTTTGAGAATAAATTATTTTGCGCAATTACTTGTTCCTGTGATACATGTGACATATATATTAAATGTTACTGTGCATTTATTCAGATTGATGATCTTAGCATACACGCTCGCTTCACTTCCCACAATCCCACAATCCCATAACCCACTCCATTATATATCTGAATTTGCCAACTTTATTGATCGTACGAGAAAAAAAAAGGTCAAAGTAAATGAAAAAAATATAATTGTATGCAAAAATATTACTTATTCTTTCGGCAAGAATTTTACCGAATATCCTCTTTCAATCAATCTCACGTTTTTCATTGTAATAAAGCATGAGCTACCCATAGAATACAAAGATAAAAAATATCATGATGTAGGACCTCCTAGTATATAGTATGCTAATGATTACGGTTACTAAACACGATTATTTGATCTTCTTCTTGGTAAGTTGTCATAAGACGTATTTCCAATTGAGAGCCGTCTTAGCTGATCGCTTCCTGGAGCATTCGAAAGCTAAATTTACATTATTTTGAGATTTTATACTTATCACAATACTTAACAGCAAGAAGTATCACTTACGTCCAATTTTTTCTTCAGAAAGGAGGTTACAGTGGGATGAAAGGATTTTTCGTAATTAATATAAGCCCATCCTTCCGCTACTCTTAAAGTAGTAATGACTTTGGTGTTATTAGTTCCGTATTTAACTTCATCGTCTTCATGGACAATTTTATCTTTAAATGTGAGCTGTAATCTCGTATTTCCTGTCCAATATACCAATAAAGAATATTACATACTACACATATTTTCTCAGTCTGCGAAGAAATGCAGGAAACTTACCATAAAATCTTGGTCGTTTCTTTATTGCATCTAGCATATCAGAAAGCTGAGTAAAAATTCTGTATCTTCCTCGACATCATGATCTAAAAATTCTATGTTAGAATCTGCATTATACCCAAAGAAAATATCTCAAGCAGTCAAGTTCTAAATAAATTCTAACCTTGATTGAATGACAAATTTGCTGACTTGTGTTAGCTGATCCATTATATCCTGATTGATCTGATTCGTTTTAATTAATTCCCTATTTTGGATAGAAGCGAGGAATCAATGATAACATGCGTATATCCTTCTTTTGATCGCCTTTCTTCATCATCCCAAAAATTTTCAACCCTTTCTTGAAGCTTAGTTTTATTGTTATTCAAGATAAGATTAGAAAATTCTTCTTCACTGTTATTATCGATTTCACCTTTCACAACCTTAAGTCATCAGCTTCAATTCAAGGAAATTGTTATTTGTCTTGACTTTTTTGTAAATTTTCTCTTTGAAATCATCAATATAATTGGTGGTATGGACAACTATGGACAACAATAGTGAATTTTTAGAATTTTCTTTAACTTCTTTGAAGAGTCGGCAGGTCAACTTGACATCCATCATGATTCTGTAATTATTGCTCATGATTAATGCTACATATTTATAATTCAATTTTCTTACTGTGGTTAATGCAGAAATTAGATCTGCAAATTTGATCAAATTAAGCATAGCGGTCATGCTTAATTTTATCACATTTTGCAGATCATTTTGCCGATCATTTGCCGATCATTTTTCATTTTA